GAACTCACTGCCTTACCTATGCTAGGCAAACTGCCAGTGAGCTACAGTCCCCAGGCCTCTTTTTCGCCTTTAGAGGAGAAGCAGGGTCTGTCTAAGTTGCCCAGGTTGACCTTAAACTTAAGCGCCTCCAGCTTCAGTCTTCCAAGCAGCTGGAATTACAGGCGGTCATACCCAGCCTCCAGCCACTATCCAGAGGGCTTTTGCTGTCTCATAAAGATTGCAGCGAAGAGCTTATCAGGCCTCTGGGAAAGTCCTATTCCCATTGTATAGCTGCTGGACAATTTCCTGAGGTCTCCATTGCTTACCTTCCCAAAGTGTTTCCTACCTTCTACCTTGAGTTGTACTCTAATTTTCTCTCTAAACTGCTTTGCTTTTGACACGTTGGGACAAGATTTGCAAAGTCTTTCGTAAGCCATCATGCTACTCTTTCTGTCATTGCAAATGTGTCAGCTTCTCTGGTCCTCATAAATTAGGTGCAACAAATGTCATTATCAGGCTACAGGCTGAAAAGCAAGCAACAGTAAGTTTAATGTAGAAACAGCCTTCACCCATCGAGAGCTCTTTATTGAAACTACCTATCACCTGGTAATTTGTAAACCTTGGTGATCCTTCCTAGCCTTTTTTGAAATGAATGTGACAGTGTAGTTGTCATGGAATGAATAAGAATGTACAAGTTTGGCTTGGGTATTTGGCTTGGGTGTGAGGCTCTGCTGAGGCCAGAAGTTTTGGTGGTAGCTGTGTGGTTTTGAGACCCAGATTCCTCAGTTGTGGCATCTTGGAAATTGGAACCACAGGCTCACTGGGAATCCAAGAGGACCTACAGGTGGGGTATGCGAACGCTCTGACACATGTCGCCATGAGGCCCTTTCTCCTTTCTGTGCAAACAGTGTGCATGTCAGTATCCAATCACTCACCAGACCCAGAAAATGTCTGCAAAATAAGAAATTATATATAAGCTTTTAAGGCTTCCCTGAAAGAGGGGTGCATTTTATGCCTAAAGAACCACAGGTTTAAAAAAAAAATAACCTATTTCTCCATTATCAAGTGCAAAAGAAGTTTCTTATTTTTCAAGCAGGGCTTTAGTGCAGAGTTGACAAAAGAGAAATAATTGCTTCCTGTTCATTTTTGAAATGAATTGCCTGGCAAGTCAACACATGTCTTGAGACACTCTAGAAGAGTCAGGGGCCTGCCCAAATGAACGATCTACTGCCTGCACGATAAGAAGGTGGTTTTTCCTTACTCACCCTTTAAAAAATTTATGGCCACAATTTTCACAATCTGCTATTCAAACCCCAAGTGATCTGAAATGTATCACTAAAAGAAATCAGAGAGAAAAGTCAGAGAGTGACCTTTTACTTTTCAGAGTAACCAGAAAGGAATAAAAGCCGCACGTAACATGAGCCTGCAAGAGGAGATAATCTTCAGAGCATACGTTCCGGGGTAGCAGTTAGAAATTAATTGCAAAACACAGCAGGGTGTGCTGTCCTGTGAAGTGACAGCACGTCTTGGTGTGTGTTGAAGACCGAATCCCCGATGCCATTGTGCCTGCCACAGAACACATCTCTTGTCCAGCATGGAGAGCACAGAAGGCACAGGCAGGACCTGTATCCTGTGGGGTGCTCTGTGGATGCAGCCTGAGTTTCCTTGTCAGAAGCACACCTGGCTGTCAGCCTTCTCAAATGCATTTTATAGCCTCAAGGTTATGGATCTCAAGTTGTATAAAGACAGTGACTTTGTGCTTAGTTGTTTCCAAGCAGAAGGTAACTGACAGGACAGATTTCCCATGGCCAATGAATGCCTTCATTTAGAATACATTTAGCAAGTACTCACCAAGGTGGGCATTGAGGTCTTCCTATGACTGAAGCATCATATCCCCCACACCCAATTTGGAAAGCTACTTCATTTCACTCAAGGAGATTGATTTGGAATAGAGTAGTTAGTGCAATGGAATAAATACCATATTGCAGGGACCTAGAGAAAGGAATCAGGAACTTTGTTTAGACAGGGTTAGCAAAGGTCCTCAGAGGCAGCTACAACTTAGGAGGCCTCTGAAATGTCAGTAGGATTGTACAGGCTGTGGGAGGAGGCCTCAGAGGTCAAGGTTGGGTGGGCTAGTCCTACATGTCCCAAGGGCAGCCACATGACATCTTAGAGACCCTGCTTCATGTGGGGAGGAAGCGGAAGATGGGGCTGGAAAGTTTCCCTGTGAGGCATGGGGGTGCCCAACCTGATCCATGATGCCAAGGGTGATATTAAAAACATTTAACAAGAATGAATCAAGGCTGGACAGGATACACTCTCTCCTGAGGAAGGCCCTTTGCGCCCTTTGCTTGCTGCAGCATGGCATGGCCCAGGTCCCTCTGGAGGCAGAGGATCAGATAAGGCTGCTAGGGTCAGACCAGTTGGGAGAGATTTTCCTATTTTAACAACCAGTGTAGCTAGGTGTCTGCACAACCATGAAGTCAGCCACTGAAGAGAACCAGGGAGCTGAGTTTTCATTTCTGATCTCTGTACTCCCTGAACAAAGTTGATTTTCTCTCTGAAGATGTCTTGAGCTAATTACCCTTGCCTTTCCTATGGCCAGAATGAACTTGAAAGAGCAAATCCAATTATTCTCCTGCCCTGATTAAAACTCTTCCACGGGCCATGCTCCATAGTCCTTACTTGATATTGGTCGTCTGACCTGTGCTGTCTTTCTGGCTTCTCATTCGTTCATTATGCCCTTGGGCACTTGCTCCCCAGCGCAGTTCGCCCGTTCCCTGTAAGAGGCCTTGGCTCATGGCTCACCTGTGGCTGGCATAGCTCCTGGTACAGTCCATCTGCTGGTTGGTCGATCTGCCTGATGTTCTTTTGTCTAGAGGAGGTTGGGGTTGGGGTATTGTTGGTTAGGTAGTGGCTTTGGATCTGCTCCAAAGGCCTGAACAGTGACTGACACTTCATTGGATGACTACAGGAATGAAAGGTAGTGGAGTAAACAAATGACATTTGTGTGTGTATGTGTGTGTTACGTGTTGGTTTGATGCTGCAATCCTTGCTTCCATTTCTTTAGTTAAAATGTAGCATGACTAGTGTAGCATTTTACACTAGTCCTAAGCATGACTAGTATTCTCATATAACCTTTATAAAATGTGAATAAGGAGTTCGGTATAAAGGAAGTCACATAAGAATTTGTTTAAAGCACCAAGCAGTGCTCTGGGCACTGAGATAACAAAGTAAAATTGGGCTGTGCCTGCAGGAAGCCGATGACCTCTGGAAAGGACAAGGTATTAAGTAAGGAAACTGCCGTCCCCCTCCCCTTCCTGCCCCATAGTCCAAGCCTTCATTGTCACTCCCTAGGGCCACACAGGAGGCTCTGAAGCAGTCCCTGCTTCCACACACGCCTTACACCCTCTTTCTGTGGCCACCAGGGAGTTTTGAAAGTCCAAATCAGAGCTCATGTGGATGTTGCTTGAACCCATTCATGACTTCACACTGCATTTAGGATAGAAACCCTTATTCGGTTCCTTGGTCTTCCAAGTCGGTTTTAATAAGGCCTCTGTCTGCAGCTCCAGTCATACACCGTGCCACTGTGCCCTGTGAGTCCCCCGAAGTGGCCTTCCACTCTGTCAACACCATGGTGCTTCCCTCCTTCTCCCACTCCTTCTTCCTTTCCCTTTCTTCTACAGTACTTGCCACTGAAGCACAGGCTTTGGGCATGTTAGACAAGCATTCTGATGTGAAACTACATTTATAGCCTTTTTTCAGAATTTCATTTTGAGACCTGGTCTTGCTAAGTGGCTTGGGACGGCCTCACACTTGTCATCCTCCTGACTCAGTGTACCCCCATGCCTGGCACCCTTGCCTTCTCAGCAGCATTGGTACGTTCCCCTCCAGTGCTTCCCAGACTGGCTCGTTTCCTTTCGATGAATCTAAAGAGGGTCCCACCACTCCAGCACTGTTACTCTTAATGCTAGCACTTAAAACAATTTGTAATTATCTTTAAATTTGCTTGGGAGAAAAACTGTCTGAAATTAAGTCTCTCTTCGGCAATTTGGAATTTAGGGAAGAGGACTGGGTCTTGACGTTTGCAAGGTAGGCATCCTTCCCTCTGCCTCCAAGGGGTACCTAATGAAATTGCAAAGGTATGATTATGAAGTCATTTGCAAGCAGCATTCATTCCCCTAACCAGTTTTGATCAGAATCAATTCCTTTGCAAAATAGGTTGTGTTCTACTGTGAAGCAAATATTTTTAAAATTAAGCTGTATTAGTGAAAACATAGGTGGCATTAGTTATAAAGATAGCTGTCAAATCTGTCAATTATTTACAGTAGGACTCTCTTTGCAAAAGTGCTAAGGTGAATAGCAGCATAAATTATTATAAAAATCAAATGCTAGAGGGAAGAAAATTTTAGAATCTAAGGGAACCATTCTGATTATGAGCAACATGCAGACAGAAACTGAAGGCAGAGAAGGCTCCAAGTCCTCAAGACACACCTGTAGGGCAGATGCCATGAGGGCAGGGGGGTGGCCACAAGATCAGTTTGAGGGAGAATAGAAAGAGAGAGTCACATTATGTCCTTGAAAGGTCTAACCAGGGGCTGGCTCGCCAACTGCTATCCTCCTCAGCTGGCTCTGATGGTGTGCAGGTGGGAAGCGGCTACTTCTCCCCACGTCATTTTGGCAGGGGATAGTGGTCCATCTAATTTCATTAGAGAATCCATCTTTCTCTAGAAAAATTATCATTTCCCCACCTGTGACTCCCATGCCTCCAAAGCCACTAAATGTTTGCTCCAAATGTCTTGGCAACAATTGGTTGAAGTTGTACTCCTGGCTCCCACAAGATACTTTTGCCCTCCCCAACCCTCCCCTAGCTTTTCTCCTGAGGCTGCACAGGGGTAGAGCCGTGGGGCAGCCTAGGATGTTGATTTACAGCATCTTCCCTGTGAATTCAACAGCTTGTGGGAGAGCGCAGGGGGCAGCTGTCCTAATGGATCACTCACTGGCTTTCTGTTTGCTTGCAGCATGTCATGCATCCTGTGCAGGCTGCTCAGGCCCCACCGAGAAGCACTGCGTGGTCTGCAGAGACCCCTTGCAAGTGCTGAGACATGGCAGCTGTGAGAATAGCTGTGGTGACGGCTTCTATGACAAGCAGGGCACCTGCATGGGTAAGTGCTGGGTGGGATAACCCAGCATCCCTCGTATTTGAGTCAGAGCACTGATAACCCATGGTCCTCTCGCCCAGTGGATATGGGGTTGGTGCGGACATGGGCTTTGCCTATAGTTTAGGAGACACATTCTACCACTGGGATCCCCGTTCCTTGTCCTGCCAGCCTGTTGGTGTGGGTCCCCATCCTGGTTTCACACAGCAGATAGAGATGGTGAAAAAGCCCAAGCCTCTGGTCTCAGCCTTGCAGCTCTGTGGAAGGGAATGGGGCTGCTGCTCAGGCTTCACTTTGTGTAATTAGGCTTTCTTCTGAATACACAGTACTGGGATGGAAATGGGCCAGCCTTGAGCCTTGAGTAGACCCTACCCATAGTGGTGTGGGAGCCCTGACGTTAAGCAGCCTTCTTCTGTTCTACCGTTAATAGCCATAAGCATAACAATAAGAACTAATGCAGTATAGTGAGTCCTTGAGCAGGCACAGCGAGCGAGCCTTGGGGGCAGTAAGGCACAAGGCACAAGGCAGTAAGGCACAAGCCTGGCTGTGGGTGAGTTCCTTACTCTCTCTGCCCATTGTTCTCTTTACATAAAGTGAAGCTAAGGGTGGCCGTGTGGTAGGCAGAATTATGATCCCAGAGGTGTCTGCTGTAATCTTCAGAGACTGTGTACACTATTGGCAAGAAACATTTGCAGGTCTGACTGAATTCATGGTCCTGGGATGGAGCGATTATCTTGGATTATGGGGGTGAGTCCTGTGTAATCATGCAGGTTCTTACGTGAGTGAGGCAGCAGGGTTAGACCAGAGGCCAGGGAGACGGGAGTGCTGCTACCCTTAAGACTCTGGACAGGCAAGTGGAAGGCATCTCCTCTGGAGTTTCCACGAGGGCTGTGGCCCCGCTGACACCTTCCCACTTCTAGAACTATCAAATACTAGATTGGTGTCACTTGTTTTATCCCAAAGAGTTGCTATAAGGTAAGAAGACTGAGGGAGAGGACTGACTTAAAACATGCAAAGCACTCAGAATACGGCCAGGCACAGAACAAGGGTTTGTGTGGTGCTGGGTTCAGTCCTTCAGAGAACTTCCTGATGTGGCTGTTCTCACTCCCAGGTTCCACAGGAGGAGCAGCAGGGTGAGAAGCTTGCCTCAGCTCATGGAGCTAAAGGAAGCACAGTGGGGTTCAAGCTTGGATCCTTTAGCTCTCGATCATGAGGTCTCTGGGTTGCACTGCTGCTCACTGCAGTGCGGATTTGCCTCATTTCCCCCTCTTTTGCTCCCCACTGCCCTTCTCTGCTGGCCCTTCCTCGTCTTCACACTGGCATGTAGGTGGACTGGCTGCCTCAGGAGCACTGCTGCGGCTGCTGCTGGTAGCAGCCTGCTGGCAAATGCAAGGTTGAGGTTGAGTTTATCGCCACCGCCGTACTGTGGTGACTGTTTTATTCCATAACTGAGTCCACTAAATCAACAACTGTAGGCAGCCCATAAAACTTTCTTGAGGTATTGTTCTCATTTTGCTCACTGAGCAGGGCAGCAGTGCAAATGAGAGTCTCTTTGGGCCTTGACAAATCCACTTGTCTCAGGGAAGAGAGAGGCGGCTACTTGGTGTAAAGCTGTGTGGAGACCCATCAGCTTTGCTGGCGTGAAGAATCTTCCTCAGTATGGATGAGTCACAGGTGGCCTTTGTAAAGATTCTGGAGGAGACAGGGAAGAAAGGCCCGGCTGCCATTAGCCTGAGTGTGTTAATCTTTTTCTGCCAGCACCACTTTGCTGCTCAATTAAGCCACATGTATTCTCAAAAGGTCGACAGATGTCAATTTTGCACTAATCCAGAGGACTAAAGGCATTTACCCTTTAAGTCCCCAGGAGGCTGGTTATTGTCACTGAGAAAGGAGGCTCTGTGACCCTGACCTGCTACTGAGACTTGCTTGTTATTTTCTGGACTGAGAAAGCAACTTTTGCTGGTGTTTAAAAGGAGACATGGTGTGAGCTTTGGGCCGCAAGGGTGTGAATCTTCTTGTGCTCAGAGATTGAGTGAGGAAACAGAGTTCTCTGTAGCCTGAAAGGATGAAAAATGAACAGGGAGGCTCAGAGAATGTAATATCTGAAATGTTATCTATATACGTGTTGGGAAGTGTCAGGAAGGGACCTTCTAGATAGGAGGATGGACCTTGGTTGACGTTAATCAGCCGACTCATCAATTTATCAACTAGTAATTACCAAACCTTGGCATTCTTAGCACCATGAAAGATTTTGCCACACCATTGACATGGACCAGCACACCTTTCGCTAAAAACAACTGCAGCATAGGCTTTCTGTAAAATCTTAAAGAGTTCTCAAAGTTTATATTAAGTGACTTCAGGAAATGTTCCCTGTAAATATTTTCTGAAACATCAGTGAACCAAGTCACTGATTGGTATCAGAATGTTAATTAAGGCTCGGGGTACTGATAATGGTGGCTTATTTCCAATTCAGATTGGTGCTATTCAGGATAAAGAATGGCTGGTGCTGGTTTAATAATTTATAACCAACCGGCCCATATCTTTAGGCATATCAAAGTAAGTACTGAGAAAAATCCAGCACAGCCTGTTAGAAGCAGTGGTGTGCCCTACCCGAAGGAACTTAGTGCAGTCAGGTTCACCCGTGGAGTACATCTTGGATTTTGCAAATGCTGGCTAGGAAGGGTGGGGCATGTCAAAGGAAAGCCTCCCCCTTTCAAGAATTTATGCTGTTATCTAGGGCTTTTCTGACTTGAGCTATCAAGTTCTGAGGGCTTTTTTCTCTGTTCTTCTACCTCTTTCTTTTGTCTTTCTTTTCTTTTTCCCTCTTCCCTCCCTAGCTGAGGCAACCACTTGCATTTTAAAAAAAAAATTTATTTACTTATGTATTTTGACCTACTAAGGATTAAATACAGGGCCTTCTCATTGAATTACATTCCTGGCCCTTTTTAAAGTTTTTATTATTATTATTATTTTAATTTTAGGACTGGATCTCACTAAATTGCCAACTTGTCCAGTGTGTGCTTGACCCAGAGATCCTTCTGCTTCTTTTTGTTGTTCTAAGCATATCTAAACTGCTTATTTTTGTCTTCAGTGCATATATATTTACTTTCCTTAAAAGATACAATGTTGGGCGATTCACCAGCACTGTAGATTTTAAGATTTGTCCCCGTTGTTACATCTTCTGATGGTCTCACAGCTGCCTGGCCAACGTCCCAGAGACGGCCCCCTCCCCTGGCCCCATGTCGTGCCACCGCCATAGAGCCGCAGGGAACACAATTTCCTTTTATGAGCTTGCAGAACTGTGGGTCTCTTGCTCTGCACGTGCCATCTTGATGACATAGTACAGGTCACCTCCCAGGAGATCTGTGCAGTCCACACTGCTAAGGATGAGGCATCACCCATCCTCGTATCCTTGCCACCATTTGACGTCAGCAAACCTTGACATTTTTTTTTTTTTTTTTTTGGTCAGTAGGTAGAAAGGGACATCTCAAGATAATTGGCTTATTTCTCATTATCAATACATTTGAGCCTGTCTTATCTCCTATAGGACTTTGAGTTTCTTCTTCTGTGAACTGCTTTTACTTTGCTTTTCCCAGAATTCTTTTGGCTTTGATACTATACTATAGATATTAACTCTTGTCAGTTTAAAATATGCATAGTTCTTATCCTCTTGTCTTCTAACTTTGAATGTGATATCCTCTGTTAAAAATATTTAATTCATAATTTTTTGCTGTAAAGTTTTACTTTGAGTCTGTAAAAAGATCTACTACTGAGGTCCACAAATCATTTGCTCTGTGTTTCCTTCTATACTTCAGTAGTTTTGTTTGAACTTAGGTTGTTGATCGTTCTGAGTTCTTTTATGTATATGGGCTTCAGAAGGAATCCTGTTTAATTTTTCTCTATTTTGTTATCTAGTTTTCTTGACATTATTTAGTAATTCAATATAATTGTTTCTGTTGATCTTTGTTACCTATTAAATTTCCATATGCACATTGGCCTTCTTGAGCTGTTCCACGATCTAAATTTCTTTTCCTACACTGTTATTACACCCCTTTGTTCACTAATTTCTGCTGCCTTGGAACATCTCACATCTGATCAGAAAAACTCTTGCTTTCCTCTTCAAATTTGACTTAGCTGCTTATTGGAGTGCATGTATTAAATTCCTAAGACAATTCAACTGGGAATTTTATGGATTTTTATATTGAATGTATAGATTAGTGTGATGACAACAGACAACTTACCAATTGTCCTATTTGAATTTACAGATTACCCTCTGAGTATCCTTTTAGGTGTGTCTTGTTATGCTTAAGTATGTAGTGTTTTCACTTTTTACATTCCTGTAGTTTTTCCATCTCTGGGAAATTCCATTTAGCTTGCAGATTATTCAGCTCTGCTAAGATGATGTCTAGAATTAGGAACTTCAGGAGTTTGTATGGGGGCTGGAAGGGAAGAATGCTTTTCTTAGAATGCTTTGTTGCTTGTTGCAGTCCTGAGTTAAGGGGTGGCATTATTTCTGTCTGACATTAAGGCCGTTCTTGGTCCATTTACTGAAATTGCCTCACCTTACTGGTTTGCTTCTGGAAGGTCTTGAGTGCTCCCAGATGCAGAACGGTGCACCTGGCCCCACTGCTTGGCATCTTTTCTCTCAAGTTCTCAAAATAGTTTTTAGAAGGTTAACAAGGTGTAGGTGAACTAAGGGAACAGACACGATAAATCTCAGCAGTTCTGTGTTGCTGAAACATCGATTCTCTGTGTTCGCTCACGCAGAAACCAGCCAGCGCACACAGCGTGGACCCAGGCCCTGTGCCCTCCTGTGTCACCCTGTGCCTGCTCTGGCTAAGGCCATTCTGCCCCTTGGCAGTTTTGAATGTATATCTCATTTTTACCTAACTGTGCTTTTACTAGGCAGTCAATTTTTTCTTCTAAAACAGTGCATTCCAGGATCCACGCTTGCTTTGAGTTTTTTAAATGTGAGAATGACAAAACAATCCTCACTTATTATTTAT